GTTTGGTCTCTCCAGTAGTTAGTAAGCCTTCCTGATATACTAATTTCAGTGCATCTTCATCATTGTTCTTCAGATATTCTTCCAAAGCCATTTTTTCTTCTTCAACCATCTGATGTACTTGTAGCATTCCACGCCCACCTATTTGCCTTGGTAGATAAAGTCTATCAATGTCACTGCGTGGATGAAGGGCGTGATTCATTGTCATTATTTTTCTGGTCTGCCTATCCATTGCTTTTAGTTCTGCTTGAGTCCAGTCCACTATTCCAGCTGTGTACCTAATTACTGGAATTGCCCAGGTGTTGATTGCCTTTATGGTATTTCCTCCATTGAGTTTGGATTTTAAGATCTTCTTCACTCTCTTGATGTATTCACCTCTAATCTTTTTCTTGACTTCAGTGTGCTTGATGTTGTCAGCTTGAAGGATACCCAAGTATTTGTAGTACTCTTCCTCATCCAGACTCTTAATGTTATTTTCGTGGGGCATCTTGATTCCTTCAGTTTTCACTATTTTTCCTTGTTTGATAGTAAGTGTGGCACATTTGTCCAAGCCAAACTCCATTACAATATCTTGGCTATATATACGGACAGTGTTGAGCAGCGATTCTATTTCAGATGATGTTTTTCCATACAGCTTCAGATCATCCATGTAAAGGAGGTGGGATAGTCTAGCAGATGTTTTTGATGTTTGATAGCCATGTCCTGAGTTATTCAGTATTGTTGACAGAGGAAACAGTGCAATAACAAATAGTAATGGTGATAATGAATCTCCTTGAAATATTCCTCTCTTGATATTAACCTCTCCCAGCTTTTCACCATTGATCTGCAACTGTGTCTTCCATTGTGCCATCGATTTTTGCACAAATTTTCTGATGTTTCTACTTACTCCTGTTATTTCTAGGCACTTGATTATCCAATCATGTGGCAGAGAGTCAAATGCCTTTTTGTAGTCAATCCATGCCACATTCAGGTTGGTCTTCCTTCTCTTGCAGTTTTCCAAGATCATTTTGTCTATTAGGAGTTGATCTTTTGTTCCTCTGCTATTGGGGCGGTTTCCTTTCTGCTCAGGTGGAAAGAGATTGTTTTCAACTAGATGCTGTTGTACTGCATCAGCTACCACACCAGTTAGTAATTTGAAAGTTGTTGGTAAGCAGGTAATTGGCCTGTAGTTACCTGGTGTTGCCCCTTTTGCTGGATTTTTCATTATTAGGTAGGTTTTCCCAGTTGTTAGCCACTTTTCAATTTCTCCTCCTTGTAGTATATTGTTGAATTGCTTGGCAATGAGTGGGTGTATAACAGTTAGATGTTTCAACCAAAACCCATGCAGTTCATCTTCACCTGGTGCTGACCAATTTTTGATTTTCTTTGCTCTTTTTTCTACCATTTTTGTTGTTATTACTAGTTCTTTCATTTCAACTTCTGTTTTATTTGCATCCACCTCTTTTAACCAAGCCGCATCCTTGTTGTATTTCTTTGGGTTATCCCATATCTGCTTCCAGAACTGCACTGTTTCTTCCTTGTCAGGTACTGACTGATTCCTTGCAGTTTCTCCATTGATGGATTGGTAGAAATGTTTCTGATTGGATTGAAATTGGAGGTTCTGCCTATAGTTTGCAATTCGAGCTTCATATCTACTGATTTTCCTGGCTATAGCTGTTATTTGTTGCTTTATTATTTCCAGTGCTTCCTTGATCTTCCTTGTTTCTAAGTGGTATTTCTTGATTAGGTATTCTTTGGTCTTCTTGTTCTTCAGCTTCTTTTCTTTCATCTGTTCTAGCTTGCTTGCATGTGATCTTAACTTGCTGATCTTATTTTCTAGTCTAACCTTCCATTTTTGTGGTGCACTGTTTGTTTGTTTTTCTTTTTTGTTGATTTTACATCCCAGGTATTCTGTTATAACTGCAGCTGTGCTGTACATTAATTGGTTTGTTTCTTGCAGTGAATTGGTGCTTATACTTGCTATTGCAGTATTTGCATCTTTTAATGCTTGTGCTAGCTGTTTCTTTGGAACAAGCTTCAATGCAGGCAGCCTTATTCTGTTGTTTTTGTGCTGTTCTAGATGCTCAATTATTCTTTGTTTCAATTCTTTTATTTCTTTAGTTAGAGGGTTTTGTTCTTCCTGAGGAAGAGGTGCCTGGTTTCCAAATGAGAACAGTTGTATATCTCTACTGGATTCTTTCACTGCCAACTCCCCCTGGTTTGCCTCTACATTCTGAATTACTTCTTGTAAGGCTTTGATTTCTTTGCCCTGGGTAAACCTTTGCAGTTCGTCCAATTCTGTTTCTGTAAATACTTTATTTCGTGTTATAAATCGGCGTTGATCTGCTAGTCTCTGTTCTGTTATTTCTGATTCTGGATGTTGTTCTTTCCAGAATTGGTGCATTCGTTTTAGATATCCTCGCCTTGTTGGACTTGATCTGTAGTAACAGATCATTATTTCTTTGTTTTCCATCACTGTGTATCTGCGACGGGTAAACACCTTTTCTTCCAGTAGTTCTGCAGCTGCTGGCCCTGGTTGCTCAGCCAACAGTCCTGAGTCCTGTAACCCATTTTTCACCAGATATCCAGGAACTCCAATATCTAGTGCGGACCTTGTTAACCCGGGCGACGTCCGAGCCGGTATGGCATTCTGAAATTTACGTCTCACCATATTTTTTATGGGAGAGACACTCTTTGTCTGACTCCTCTGATGAGACCTGTCCAGTATGGTTGAACCTCTGGCATAGCTCTCATCTTCCTCAGAGTACACAAGCCCCACAACCACGTCAAGGTAATGCCTCATAAAAATTCCACTATAATAAACTATTGATAATAATAATAATAATAATGCTAGTAATAATAATAATGAGTATTATTATTATTATTATTACTAGCATTATTATTATTATTATTATCAATAGTTTATTATAGTGGAATTTTTATTATATCGTATTGTTTAAGAATTAGCATATTAATTTTTTTATGTATTATACTTATTTAGAATTTGTTTATTTTACATTAAAAGGGAGTTAAAGTGTATTATGGATTTGGTTTTTATATAGCTGGTTAATGTTATTTAGATTATGATTGTCATATTTGTAACCCTGTATTCAGCTCTGGGAAGTGTGGGAGGGGAAGGGGTTGGGGGGGGTTGGGGTTGTTTTGTTGTAAATTTTTGTAAAACCTTTCAATAAAAAAAGAAAAGAAAGTAGTATAAAAAGGATACAGTTACATCTTTAATATCTATATTAATTCCCTTATTGTAATGGTATATGAGAATGACCTTGGATGACAGACAGAAGAGATGCTGACTAGGGAATGACCGATAAGACAAAGCATATCCCATATCTTTGTGGTAGGTAGATGGTGGGAGATTTGTACAGGTAGTCTTCAACCTATGACTACAGTTGTGACCAAAATGTCTGGAGACTGTTAAATGAGTAGCCCACAATTTTGTGACCTTTTTGCCATAGTTGGTAAGCAAATCACTTTAGTTAAGTAAATCATGTAATCCATAAATGAATTCGGCTTCCCACATTGACTTAGTATCAAGCAATCATAGAATAATAGAGTTGAAAGGGACTTAAGAGGTCTTCTGTTCCATGCTTTTTCAACCTTTTTCTCCCATCTCCCTTATATTATGGAAGTGGTATTTTCACCTATTCAAATAACAGGCATTCCTCAAATCAAGCTAAGCTTATTGTAGTAATATACTGTATAATATTTTCATCCCACTTTTAAATCCTATCATATATACCTTACACAATGAAGATATAACGGATGCCTGGAAAATCACAATTAAAAAAGGTGAAACATTTATTTCTTAATGCTAATTGTTTTCTAGATTATCTTCATAATTGGAATTAATGTTCAATTAATTAATTAAAACTGTGGTGAATATACAGATTCTAATGTAATATGAATTTCAGGGCACTAGTCTTTGCAGTATTTACTGCAGTGTAAAAAAATCATTTTTATAATAATCACAATTTGTAACTTCCTGGTTGTTCATTGCAAAGAATGAAACTTCATGTGATAAAAATGCATACAGCCAATTCCTGCCCAGCTGGTTTATTCAAAAAGTTTCTAATATGTATTTAAATAGATTGTTTATGCCATGACTTGGGTATGTCTTGAAAATAAAAGAGTAGTCTTGCAAAATAAAATTATTTTTAACTAATTGATAGTTCTGTCTTTCAAATGTCTGGAAGTACATAAAGAGTGCAGGGGAATTTTGATTTCTTTTCTTCAGTGGCTGGTTCTTAGAAATATGTAGAGTTTGATTCTGAGAGTAGTATAAAGAGCATCATGATAAGCATCCTTTCAAAGTCTTAATTTCCAAAGTTATATTGTTTGAACGTAATTGTGATTCTTCCCAGTCATCATATGTCCTATGTATCTCTTTGTTGCTACTTTTTGTGAATAAAAAGAAAGCTCAGGAAAAAAAATGATCTGATCTCTAAATAGTTTTTAAAACAGCCAGATTGTAATGGATAGTAGTCTGGATTCCCAGGAGGGAGGGACAGCAATCCAGAGGTGGAAGAGAAGGTGAAGATTAAATAATTTCTTTGAGAGAAAAATGGTCAAGATAGCTCCTGCCTAGGAGTTCTCAGAGTGTATCTTTAGTGCTACAAATAGTTGCTTTAATTTGGCAAGATTGTTCTCTATAGGTGAAGAAGAATAAAAGAAACTGCTTTGAAGTAATGTAGCATTCTTTCTTGACATTTGGAGACTGACACAAATGTTCTCTACTGAATGTGTCTCCTGCATTGATATCATTGCTACAAGACCCAAAAATTAGCAGAAATTCTATTTGGCATAATTTCTTTAACTTAGTAGTTTCACTTAATTGTTCTTTAATGGTAGGTACCTCTAAGGAATGAGAAAAGCTAATATATTGGAAAAAACTCAAGGGATTTAGTTTATTTCAGCACTTTAGAGAAAATAAGTGTTTATCCTTATTAAAAGAGATTTGCATTTTAATAAAAGTTGTTTCCATATATAATACTACAAGAGGCTGCAATTGTCTGCTTTTATTTAGAGATAGGTAGTAAATAGATGATAAATAGATAGGTGACAGGTACTTTTGAAATATTTAAAACAAATGTAAGTACACTAGCTTCTTTTCCAATATGAAACATACTTTTTCTTGTATGAAGATTTATTTCTGTTCAGAAAGGAACAAAACAATTGTGAAAATCACCATGCTTATACTGGAGAGTGCAATGCAACATCTAAGGACTTTTGTAGTTGATTTTAGAGAATTTGGAACAGTTGAATGTTTATCTGTTTTATTTTTAGAGTTTTAAAGATCCTGTACTCTATTTCTTATTGCCATATTGTTGAAAATGTCTCACAGACTTAAGGTAGAGAAGCAGATAATAAATATAAGAAATAAAAACTGCTTCAAATTTTATGTAGAGGATAATCCAGTTTTAGAAACTTACTTGATTGAATTAATGACATAAGGAATAAATAAAAATAGATAATTCTCAAATTCTTTTTGTGTGTTTTATGCCAAATAATGCTCATTTCTCTTGAAAAGATTACACTGAAATCACAACTATGTCATATTTCATTATTGATGCTGCTTTTAATTTCATGTATATAACATTTAATCTTATAAAAATGGATGTTCCTATTCTCTATAGGACCAGGTCTTATTTTCATTGAGGCATGGTGGTACAAAATGAAACTGAACTGACTGAGTTTATCATACTTGGCTTTAGAAACCTGCAGGAGATCCATCTTTTGCTCTTCACTGGGTTCTTCATCATTTATCTCTTCACAGTTGTGTGGAATACCTTCATTATCCTAATGACATTGATTGATCAGAAACTACAAACCCCTATGTATTTCTTCCTTGGGAACCTCTCCTTTCTGGATATTTGCTATACAAGCACCACTATCCCCCAGATGCTGGCCCATTTACTCTCAGAGAAAAATAGCATTTCCTATATAGGTTGCGCACTTCAGGCATATTTCTTTTTTTCTTTTGTGGGCATTGAATGCCTCCTGCTTGCAGTAATGGCCTTTGATCGCTATGTTGCCATTTGCAATCCTCTATGCTACTCATTGATTATTAGCAAAGAAATTTGTCTCCAACTGGCTACATCCTGCTGGGCTGGTGGCTTACTCAACTCAGTAGTACATACCACCTTTGCCTTTTGGTTACCATTTTGTGGCAATAACCACCTGGATGCTTTTTATTGTGATATTGCTCCATTACTGAGATTATCATGTGGAGACACTTCTCTTAACCAAGTTTTTTTGCTTTCCATTGGCTTTTTCATAGCTTGGACCCCTTTGGCATGCATCCTTCTATCATATAGTTATATCATTTCAACCATCTTAAGTACACACTCTTCAGAAGGCAGGAAAAAAGCTTTTTCCACCTGTTCCTCCCATCTCACAGTGGTCCTTTTATACTATGGAAGTGCCCTTTTCACCTACTCAAGGTCAAATAACAATCATTCTTCAAATCAAGCTAAACTTATTCCAGTAATATATAGTATTTTAACCCCACTTTTAAATCCCATCATATATACCTTGCGCAATAAAGATGTAATGAATGCCTGGAGAAATACAATTAAAAAATAATGAAACATTTTTTCTTAAAACCTAATTATTTCCAAGATTGTCTTTCCAACTGAAATGAATATTTAATTAATACTATTGTGAAATATGCAGATTCTGGTGTATATATGTATTTCAATGTGCACTGGTTTTCCCAACATTTACAGCAATGTGTTTATTTATTGTATAACTTGATGGTTCATCTTCAATAATGACACTTTAGTTCATAAAAACTCTTGCATAGCTAGCCTATTCAAACTTTTTTTTTCCTCACACATATTCGGAATAGATTGTTTATGCCATGACTTGACTATGCCTATGAGAACAGAAGAGTAATCTTGAGAAATAAGATTTTAACCAGTTGAAATTTTCTCACTATGCGAGTACCTACAGAATATACAGAGTAATAAAAATTATCAATAAGGGGAAATATTTGTAGCTCAGGGTTGAAATGAGGGATTCTTGGTGCTCTCTGAGCTTGATTGTTTTCTTGCAGACATTTCATTATCAAACTAGATAAGATGATCAGTAGCATTAGCACTGTTGATGTTACATAATTTGAATAATGAAACATCTACAAGAAAACAACCAAACTCAGAGAACATCAAAGACCTTCAATAAAAGTTATTTCTATATTTCAATTTTACATTTTTATATATTATAATACTACAAAAGGCTGCAATCATCTACTTTTATTCAAAGGTAGGTAGGAGATAAATAGAAAATAAATACATTCTAAATATTTAGTTAAATGTAAGTATACTAACTTCTTATACAATATGAAACATACATTTTATATGAAGATGGAGTTCTGTTCACAAACAAATAAAAAATAATTGAAGTCATTCTACATCAATGTTCTTATGTACTTGATTTTAGAGATTCTGAACTATTGAAAATTTTATTTGTTTATTTTCAGTATTTTAAAATTTTTACATTCCATTTTGTATGACTATATTTTAGAGAATGCCTCTAGCATTCGAAGTGTAGTAGAGTAGATAATGTAATAAATGAATGTAATAAATGAAAGGTGTTTCAAAATCAATACAGAGGATAATCCTGGCTTTAAAAATATGATTGAACTGATGGAATAAACAGTAAGAATAAAAATAGATAACTTCAAATTGTATTTATGTGTTTAATGGCATATAATCTTAATTTTAATGAAGTGTTCCTAACTTTAACTATTTAGTAGATCCTTACTAACCATTAACTATAGAAAAATATTTTCAAAAAAAGGATCAGAAACAAAATTAATTTCATCTCAGTGAACCAAAAAGAGTATTCATTAATTTCATAGAATATTATAGAATATTAAACATGTAATCAAAAATTCTTATTGGTTCTGTTATGTTTTGATTCAGTGACAGTTCACAAACAATTGAATTCAGTGATCTATGGATTAATAGATTATTTCATTTTTAGCAAGTTTGGCTGATCTTTCTTCATGAAACACATTATGAAATATATTTCTTTATGGTATATTGCCACCTGAGTAACTTTAGGCCAATCACTTTCTCTCAGTTCTAGGAAGGAGCCAATAGCAAACCTTATCCAGGCATCTCTAAAAATTGAAAAGGAAAAAAAATGGCATCATACAGATAGTCCTCAAATTACAGTCACAAGGGATTATGGAATTTTGGACATAAATCATTGCATAAGTCACATCCATATGACTGCCACACTGAATGACCACAAACCCAGCTCTCCCAGTTGCAGGGATTAAGCAATCATGCAGGTTATTAAGTGGAGCATTGGAATGACTCAGAGGGTATGAGAGACTATGGGGAGCCCCAAATGAACAAGCTCTATTCCTTGGAAGCTGTGATGGAATATAGTGAGGCGATAGATTCCAGCCCTGCAGTATGGCACTTGGAAGTAGGACCAGATATGATATGTGAGAGAAAGAGGGTAAAGACAGCCCCTCCTTAATAGTTAACAGATTATATTCTAGATGCAGATAATAATCCTCAGTCTGTCAAGATATGGTGGAATATTCAAAAAAATTTTAAGAGAAGGATAAAATTCACTCCACAATTGTTTTTGTTAGGTATTATTGTTGATTGTGATGATAAAGAAATTATTTTAATGTTAAATTTAATTACAGCGGCAAGGTTGTTGATAGGACAATATTGGAAGAAGGAATTTTTGCCTTGGAAGAATGGTTTTTTAATGTTTCTTATTTATCTGAAATGGCAAAAATTTCGGCTTATTTGAAAGATCAATCGCAAGAGAAATATCTCTTGGTGTGGAAAAGATGGATAAACTTTATACAGTATAAGTATGATATTAAAAGATATTATTTAGCTTTTGAATAATTTATGTTTAAACTTTAAAGTTTAAGATAATAAGTATTTATATTGGACTTTTTTATTATATATACATATTGGATTTTTTTTTAACGTAACTTTTGTTTGAGGTTTATTTAAGTTTAAATGTTCTGTATTTTTAGTTTTAGTTAACCCTGTATTCAGCTCTGGGAAGAGGGGGGGAGGGTTTTTGGGAGGGTAGGGAGGTAGTGAGAGTGGGATTTTATTGTAAAATTGTAAAAACTTTTAATAATAATAAAAAAAAAAAGATTTTGTCAGTAGGTGTAAAAGAATAAAGAACTCAGCTTGGAAGAATTACCACATGTCATTCTTGGTTTTGGACTTGACAGAAGACTTCAGAAAGTCTCACGTAGCTTCAGAAGTCTCCAGAGCTCTGAACAACTTTGGAAGAAGAAGAAGAAGAAGAAGATGAAGAAGAAGAAGAAGAAGAAGAAGAAGAAGAAGAAGAAGAAGAAGAAGAAGAAGAAGAAGAAGAAGAAGAAGAAGAAGAAGAAGAAGAAGAAGAAGAAGAAGAAGAAGATGAAGAAGAAGAAGATGATGATGATAATAATAATAATAATAATAATAATAATAATAATAATAATAATACTGAATAACTCAGGACATGGCTATCAAACATCAAAAACATCTGCCAGACTATCCCACCTCCTTTATATGGATGATCTGAAGCTGTATGGCAAAACATCATCTGAAATAGAATCGCTGCTCAACACTGTCCGTATATATAGCCAAGATATTGTAATGGAGTTTGGCTCGGACAAATGTGCCACACTTACTATCAAACAAGGAAAAATAGTGAAAACTGAAGGAATCAAGATGCTCCACAAAAATAACATTAAGAGTCTGGATGAGGAAGAATACTACAAATACTTGGGTATCCTTCAAGCTGACAATATCAAGCACACTGAAGTCAAGAAAAAGATTAGAGGTGAATACATCAAGAGAGTGAAGAAGATCTTAAAATCCAAACTCAATGGAGGAAATACCATAAAGGCAATCAACACATGTGCAATCCCAGTCATTAGGTACACAGCTGGAATAGTGGACTGGACTCAAGCAGAACTAAAAGCAATGGATAGGCAGACCAGAAAAATAATGACAATGAATCATGCCCTTCATCCACGCAGTGACATTGATAGACTTTATCTACCAAGACACCAGATGGATCCGTAGCTGGCTGACCGGCCGTACTCAGCGAGTGGTCCTCAATGGAACTGCATCTATATGGAGGGAAGTGTGTAGTGGGGTGCCCCAGGGCTCTGTTCTGGGCCCAGTACTCTTCAACATCTTCATCAACGATTTGGATGAAGGGATAGATGGGGAACTCATCAAATTTGCAGACGACACCAAGCTGGCAGGAATAGCCAACACTCCAGAAGACAGGCTTCAGATACAGAAGGATCTGGACAGACTTGAACACTGGGCACTAACTAACAAAATGAAATTCAATGGTGAAAAAAGCAAGGTTCTACATTTAGGCAAGAAAAACCAAATGCACAAGTACAGCATAGGTGGCACCATGCTCAATAGTAGTAACTGTGAGAGGGACCTCGGAGTCCTAGTAGACAATCACTTAAATATGAGCCAGCAGTGTGCTGCAGCTGCCAAAAAGGCCAACACAGTGCTAGGCTGCATTAACAGAGGGATAGAATCAAGATCACGTGAAGTATTAATACCACTCTTCAATGCCTTGGTAAGGCCACACTTGGAATACTGCATCCAGTTTTGGTCACCACGATGTAAAAAAGATGTTGAGACTCTAGAAAGAGTACAGAGAAGAGCAACAAAGATGATTAGGGGACTGGAGGCTAAAACATATAAGGAACGGTTGCGAGAATTGGGTATGTCTAGTTTAACGAAGAGAAGGACAAGGGGGGACATGATAGCAGTATTCCAATATCTCAGGGGCTGCCATAAAGAAGAGGGAATTAAGCTATTTTCCAAAGCACCTGAAGGCAGGACAAGAAGCAACGGGTGGAAACTAATCAAGGAGAGAAGCAACCTAGAACTAAGGAGAAACTTCCTGACAGTGAGAACAATTAATCAGTGGAACAGCCTGCCTCCAGAAGCAGTAAATGCTCCAACACTGGAAGTTTTTAAGAAGAGACTGGACAGCCATTTGTCCGAAATGGTGTAGGGTTTCCTGCCCGAGCAGGGGGTTGGACTAGATGACCTCCAAGGTCCCTTCCAACTTTACTACTATTACTATTACTACATCAGATGATTGAAGAAGAAAAAATGGCTTTGGAAGAATATCTGAAGAACAATGATGAAGATGCACTGAAATTAGTATATCAGGAAGGCTTACTAACTACTGGAGAGACCAAACTGGCCTACAAGAAAGACCAAATGAAGAACAGAATAGAGGCATGGGAAGACAAAGCACTACATGGCCAATACATGAAAAAAATAGCTGGGAAAGCAGATAATAATAAAACCTGGCAATGGCTAAGAGCAGGAAAATTGAAGAAAGAGACCGAGGGACTAATTCTGGCTGCACAAGACCAAGCCTTAAGGACAAATGCATACAAAGTCAAAATTGAGAAGACAGCAAAAGACAGTAAATGCCGCCTATGCAAAGAAGCTGAAGAAACAGTGGACCACTGGTAAGCTGTTGCAAGAAGATTGCACAGACTGACTACAAGCAGCGGCATGACAAAGTAGCAACAATGGTGCATTGGAAGATCTGCAAAAAATATCATTTGCCTGTAAGCAAAAACTGGTGGGATCATAAAATAGAGAAAGTCATAGAAAATGATAAAATTAAACTGCTCTGGGACTTCAGAATTCAAACAGACAAGCACTGCAACATAACACCCCAGACTTAACAATTGTCGATAAGAAAGACAAAAAAGTCTGGATAGTGGACGTGGCAGTGCCTGGAGACAGCAGAATAGACGAGAAAGAACTGGAGAAGATAACAAAATACAAAGACCTACAAATAGAAATAGAAAGACTGTGGCAAAAGCAAGCAAGGGTAGTACCAATAGTCATAGGCTCCTTGAGTGCAATCCCAAAACAACTGGAGCACCACTTGAACACCATTGGCATTGACAAATTCGCTATTAGTCAATTGCAAAAGGCGGCCTTATTAGGAACTGCTTCCATCCTGCGACGATATCTGTAATACCATCAAACATCCACATCTGCCTATCCCAGGTCCTGGGTAAGGACTCGATAGGTAGACAAAATGCCAAATCCAGTCTGAACATCTGAACATGATCCATAATATGAAATAAAGTATTCACAGAAACACAATTGGACGAACTGCAAAGGTTTACCCAGGGCAAAGAAATCAAAGCCTTACCAGAAGTAATTCAGAATGTAGAGGCAAACAAGGGGGAGTTGGCAGTGAAGGAATCCAGCAGAGATATACAACTGTTCTCATTTGGAAACCAGGCACCTCTTACTCAGGAAGAACAAAACCCTCTAACTCAGTGGTTCTCAACCTTTCTAATGCCGCGACCCCATAATACAGTTCCCCATGTTGTGGTGACCCCCAACTATTTATACATCACTGTGTGCCAGGGGCGTGGCCAAAGAAAAGGCAGAAAAAATGGCGGACCGCCTTGTTTGGCGACCCCCGTTCGACCCCAAATGGGGTCCCGACCCACAGGTT